CGGGGCGGCGGGGCCTCGGGAGTCGCTGAGCCCCGACCCTGGAGCCGGGGCGGTCCAGCGGCCCGGGGCCTCCATCGGGATCTCGGAGCTGGGAGGCGCCGGCCGCTCCTGCTGTGCCGGGGTTCCTGCGCTGCCCCACCGAGAGGGGGGCCCCTTCACCCCAAGTTCCTAGAAGGGGCGCCGAGAGGGGCGGCTGGTGGGCACATCGCGCGGCCACGCGGGAGAAGAGGGGCTCCCCGGGCCCTCAGGCCGGCGGCTTCAGCGCGACGCTTTGCTTTCCACGCCCGAGGTTTGTTTACTGGGGGGCAGGTTCTGGCGGGGAACCCAGGCAGTAAGGGCCCGCGCTGGAATAAAGGCCATGCTGGGCTGCACCCCGCCTGTGGAAAACCGGGTCCTGGACTCACGGCAGGTGGGGCCCCCCCACACCCTGCTCAGGGCAGTCCTCAGCTCGGGTGACACCCTGGGGTGCCTTCACTTACTTCAAAGTGCCATGAAAGTCGCAAAAACTGTGACTGCCACCCCCCTTAATTCTGAAAGTGCATGCACACCCTGGGGCGGGGCGGGGCGGGGGGCATGCCATCAGGGCTGCAGCACCCCAGCCGCCTGCTCCCTGCTCCAGGGGTGCTTTACCCTGCGGCCCACGGGTCTATCAGCCGACCCCGGAGCCCCCCAGCGCCTACCTGGAGTAGCTGTGCTGATGACGGCTGCTGACCCTCGATGCGTGAAGAGCACCGACCCCCCACCATCGAAAAGCCCCATCTAGTGCAACCCCCCCACACTTAACTACAGTGGCCAGCCCTTGGCGCCCGAGGGGCGGGTTGCAGACCACCCACCGTGCCCGAGGCGGCTGGCGTGACTGGGAAGCAGCCCCCACCGCGGGGGTCGCTGGGGGCCCGTGGCTGCAGAGCCCCCGCCCAGCCCAGCCCACGCAGGTTGGGCCCAGGGTCAGCCAAGCCAGTGCAGGCGAGCAGGGGGTCACAGCCAGGCCGGAGGCACTGGGCCGCGCCTGCAGGCGTCTACTGCCCCACAGGTCTGCTCACCGGCACAGGGGCGCTGCACACGCACCCCCTGCTCACTGCTCCCCACCGGGGCGCCCATACTAGGGGGCGTTCATGGGGGGCTCACAGCTGGGGGCACCCATATCTGGCGGTGTTCCTTGGGGGATCATACCCCGGGCGCTCATACTCTGGGCACTCACATCTGGGGGTGCTGCCCTCTGTGGAAACACGGGGCACACTCACAGGTCACGTGCAGCACAGAGACCGGCGCGGCCTGGCCCCCCGCGCGCCCCCCAGGCCTCAGAGGCCTGGCACTGGCCTCTCCAAGGCCCTCAGGCCTTCCCCCTCTGTCCAGCTGTCTCCCGTCCCTGCCGCCCGTCCTGAGGCTGCTGAGGCACCTGCAGAGAGGAAGGGCGTCAGGGGTCCGGCGGCTGTGACCTCCTGGAGGGACCAAGGCCTCGGGCGGCCCGCGGGCGGCCAACAGCAGAGGTTTCCTAATGCTGGAAAGCCCGGCCCGGCCCCTCCGCCCGCAGCACCCGCCCTCCTGGCCCTCTGCCTCCCGGAAGCCCCGGGACAGGCCCTGGACTCCTCTCCCGGCACCCCAGGGACTTCCCTGGGGGCTCTGACGCCCTGGAAAAGCTAGAATATGCGGGAAAAGCCCAGAGCCTGGGCGCAGCCCAAGCCCGCTTCCCGGAGGCAGCCGCTCGGTCAGCGCCTGGGAGCCAGGGTTGGGCCCCCGACACCGGCTGCAGCCCCAGGGGCCCAGGCAGGGAGCCCCCTCGCTCCCAGGCCAGAGCCCCCACAGCCCAGCTCAGGGCAGCACGCCCGTTCAGGTGAGGACACGTCCCCACGCAGGCACAGACGCGCACAGGCCACGGCCACGCGCACACGGCCCACCTGGACACGCAGGCCGACGCGGGCACGCATGGACGCGCGCAGCGGCCAGCCCTGCTCTCGGACGCCTGCCCAGCCCTGGCCCCCGGCCCGGCCAGGCCCACGCGGCCCCGACCCCCACCTCCACATCACCCCTGGGAACGTCCGCCCGTGCGCCGGCTTCCTTTCTCAGGGGAGGAGACAGAAACAGACCTCTCCCCTTCCCTTGGAGAAATCCGCGTCCAGCAGAAGACAGGCCCCGAAGCGGACGGCCGCAGGGCAGGGGCGTCCAGTGTCCACCCGTCCACCCTGCAGGGAGGGGGCCGGCCCAGGGCAGCCTCCTGGTGTCCCGCCTGCCAGCCCCAGCCCCCGGCACTCACTTGGGCCGGCCGGGCAGGCCAGCGGCTGTCCGAGGCCGGCTCCCGGCTTCTGCAGGAAGGAGGCTGGGGCTTTCGGGCAGGAGGGGAAGCCCCATGGGAGGGGCGGGCAGCCCTGTGGCCAGCTGGGGCCCCGCCCTCCCCCAAGGCCCGGGCAGTCCCCACCTGTCACTTCCCACACGGGCTGTCCTCACTGCTCCGCCCGCGTTCCGGGCTTGCTGGCTGTGGCCTGACCGCCGCCCAGTCCCTGGCGCTTGGGCCCCCTTCAGCTCGGGGGTGGCCCAGCCCCGCAGGGAGTCGCCAGGTGCCCACCCCACATCCCTGCCCATCCAAACCTGCCCACTTGTCCCCCAGCCCAGGGAAGGGGCCACCCTGGGAGGGAGGCGACGTCCCCTGGGGCCTGGGGGCTGCTGGGAGCTGAAGGTGTGGGCGGGGTCTGGCCACCCCACTGTTCACGCCCTGGGCTCGCTGGGTGGCTGCCCGCCCTGGCCTATCCCCCCACACCGCAGGATTAGAATAAGGGGTGCTTTGCGGCAACTCCTCGTACCCTGGGGCAGCTGCTCCCCGCGGCGTCCCTCCTGGGCTCGCATGGGGGAGAGGCGCAACTGCCAGGGCTGCTTCCCAGCTGCCGGCCACCTCGAGGCCCAGGCCACTGGCCACGTGTGGCTCGTTAGGGAGGCCAATCAGCAGGGACGGACAAGGGCTCAGGTCTCACTTCAAAGCCCGTGGACTGGCCCATGGCCGCCACCTGAGCTGCAGGAAGACGTGTGTGGCCTGGCCCTGGGCCGGACGCAAGGACACTGGCCACACGCAGGTGCGGGGCCACGCCAGGCCAGCTCTGCGGAGGGTGTGCCCAGCAGAAGGAGCAGAGTGTGCGAAAGGAAGAGGCACATTCGGGGGGCGAGCGCAGCACCCCAGGCCCACATGGGGCCCGGTCGCCATGGACGGTGGCCCAGGGGCTGGGGCAGTCGGCCAAGCGCCCTCCTCAGCGGTCTGGGCGGTCTGGGGGCCCAGAGGCGGGCCCTGCCCGCGGCTCTGTGCAGACAGGGCAGAGGCCCGGCTGCCGCCCCACCCAGCGTCGCCCCCAGAGCACTGCCCTTCACGAGGGCCACGGCGCAGCTCAAGTGGCCGCTGCCCCATCCTGCCGAAAGAGCTGCTGGGCGGGGGTGCTGCCGGCAGGGCATCCGCAGGGCGCCGGGCTCGGGGCCGGTGAGGGCAGGGCCGCGGCTGGCTGCCAGGGGCAGCCCTGGGGCACCCGGGACCATCGTCCTGGAGGACAGGCGCCCAGACCCGGCCTGCCGAGGAGCGGCCGGGGAGGCCACACAGCCGCCCCCGCCTCGCCTGGGCGCTAGGGGCCGCGTGGCAGGAGGCGCCGGCCGCCGGACTCGGCCCCGCAGGCCCCGGCCTCCGCCGCGCCTCGGCCTCCTCCCTCTGGGTGGTCACCAAGGGGCCCCCCGTCCTGACGGGGAGCAGGTCTTCCTCGGCGCCCCTGGGGGACCGCTGCCCGCAGAAGGGAAACTGAGGCTCGGCGTGGTTTAGGTGACCGCCAGTAGGGGGCAGGCTGGCGCCCCGCCCAGCCCAGTCCCCACTCCGGGGCCCAGACTGCAGGGCCGCAGCCAGCGGAGCCAGGACCTGTCGGTTCCGCAGGCGTAAGTGGACGGCACCGGGGCCCCGCGGCGCCGCCCTCTGCTGACCACGCATGGCCGGCGCGGCCAGCCTCCTGGCTTTGCCCTTGCAGGCTGCCCGAGGCGCCGCCGATTGCGTCGCGTCCCCGAGGCGGGACCTGGCCTGGGGCCTGGGTGGGCTCGGGGGTCACAGTGAGACGGGGCCGAGGGAGGCGGTCAGCCTGGGCCCCCAGCCCTCGGCTCTCCGTGGGCGAGGCCCCCGCCCCGCTGTCCTGCGCCGGCAGTGGGCACGCCCTGGGCCTGCCGGACACCCGGGCCCCAGCAGCCCGCCACAGCGCCTCTCCTCGCACCAGTGCAGGCCGCTTCTCCGGCCGCGGGCAGGGCCCCGGGGTGGGCGGCGGCGGCCCCACGGGCGGGTGCCCCCCCACCGCCCACCGGGGAGGGCAGCGCAGCCCCAGGGCGCTCCAGGCACCGCTGCCGAGGCCACGCCCCACCTCTGCAGAGCGCTGCCACGCGTCACGGAGCTGGAGGCCACGTCCGGCCTGCGTGCGTCCGGACGTCACCAGACGGACACTTCAGAGCCGCCCTGGTGGCCACCTCCGCCCCGCCGCTCGCTGCCCGTCCCCTCACCGGGCAGAGCTGGCCACTTGGAACAGGCCTGTCTGGGTTAGGGGCCTGGCGGGGGCTCTGTGCACGTCCAGGGGCCACCCTACGGGTCACCGGCACCAGCGTCTCGGCCCTGGCCCGGCCCGATGCCCGTTCCCAGCAGGGCCCAGGCCCGGGCGCCCCCACTCAGTACCAGGGAGCTGCCCCAGGAGCGTCTCGGGGTCGGAGCGGCCCCCAACCCAGCACCTCCCCACAGCGGGGAAGGCCCGGCCCGAGCTTCGAAGGAGCGGATTTACGGACACCGGTCACGTCCGCCGAGGGCGCCAGTGGGAGCGGCCAGCAAGCGGCCTGGCCAGGAGGGGAGGCCCGGCCACTCAGGGTGGAGGCGAGGACTCCGCAGCCCAGGCTCCGGCCTCCCGCTGCTGGTCTGGTGCAGCCCCCACCCCTCGGCCCCCGGGCGGCACCGGGCCAAGCAGGGTCCTTGCCAGCTGGCCGGGGCAGCGGGAGGCCGGGCCAGCAGAGAGGAAGGAGAGCCAGACCCCGAGGGCAGGGGACTTCCCAGCTGAGGTCTCCGGTCTATGCAAATGCTGCCCTTCCTGTGACCCGCGGAGGCGGCGGCTGGCTCCCAGCACCCAGGACTGTGGGCCGGGGGGACAGGCAGGCGGCGGGCCGGACAGCACAGGGCCCTCTGCCCGGGGGGCCACCTCTGGGTCTGGGGCTGCCACTGCCGGACAGGGGGCGGAGGTCGGCCAGGCGTCATTGCAGGGCCCCAGAGGGACTGGCTGGCCCTGGCTCCTCCCACCCTCCTGCCCCATCGGGGTGGCGGTTTCCCTAGCTGCAGGTGGGGGCGCCCCGCCCCTCCCCCGCCTTCCTGGGGAACAAGGACACCGACCCCCTGGTGTGGTGGCCGGTCGGGTTGGGGTGCACAGAGGCCGGCGCCCGAAGATGCGGGTGCCGTCGGGCCAGGCGCCGGCGTGTGGACGCACGTGCACGTGGCCACCAGTGTCCCCAGGTCCTCCTGGGTCCGCCGGAGGGGGAGCTGCTCGGACGACGGGATCCCCCGTGCCCAGGCGCAAAGCCCACCGCTCCCGGCCGAGGCCCGCTCGCCGCAGGCCGAGACGGGGCGGGGAGCGGAGTGTTCCCTGGGCGGCTCACGGGGGCCCACCCCAGCCCGCTGCCGGCCTGTGTCCAGGACGGGTCCTGGCTGGCCAGGGCTGTGGGCTGCGTCCGACGCCCAGGGGCTCAGAGGCACCTGATCTTGGGAGGCGCCGGCCCGGGGCAGCCTTAGAGGGCCCCAGAAGGCCGGGGAAAGAGAACAGGGCCAGAGAGCGGGAGGCCCACCCACGCACCGGAGGGCCCACTCCAGGCTCGGCCAGCCGGCCCTCGGGGCCAAGCGCAGCCGGGCGGACGCCCGGGGGCTCCCTGGGCTGGGCCGAGGCTGGGGGGAGGGCGCCACCCAGGCCTGCCTGACCCAGCCACCCACCGGCAGGGGAAGCTGAGGCGAGGTGCAGCTGCGGACCCCCAGGCGCTCAGCCCCACGGCAGCGGGCGCCCTTGAGGGCTCGGAGAGAAGTCCGGGTCTGGGGACACGACGGGGAGCCCCCGTCGGGCTTCTGGCCTCACACCCTCGCTGGGCATCCCCGGGAGCGGCGAAGAGGAGGCCAGAGGCGACTGCTGGGCACGGGGGCCAGTGGGCTATAGTTCCTGGGGCCCGTGGCGGGTCAGCGCCAGGAGATGGACCAGGAGGAGCCGGGCTCAGACCAGCCCTCCCTCAGGGCCACCTGGGACGGGCAGCCGCAGGCCTGGCCCGGGGAGCACCCCCCCACCCCCAAACCCCCCCGCCCCTCGCAAAGCACACGGTCACTCGCTTCAGAGGCTCAGTGTGGTCTTGGATATGACAGAGCCCGAGCAGGGGCGGAAGCCAGGAGGGGCGGGAGCGGGTGGCCGGACGCCGCGTGGTGTCCAGCTACTGGACGCGGGCCGGTGACCGCAGGGCGGCGCCTTCCCTGCAGCCTTGCTGAGGACGAGCCCCGTCAGTCACAGGGGCTCCTGGCTGGTCACCGCCGGACGGAGCTGCTGACCGGGGCTGGGCAGAGCGGCCGCTGGGCAGGCTAGTCCTCGCCGCCACAGATGGCCAGCAAGGCCTTCAGGAAGTCTCCGGAGGTGTCGCCCTGGGGGCACGGGGCAGCCGGTCAGCAAGCCACCCTGCTGGCCTGGACCCCCCGCGGACGCCCCCTCGCCCCTGACCCCGGGGCCCGACCTCGATGGCCTGGTGCAGGGACTTGTCGTATTTCTCCACGAACTCCCGGCGGATGTTGAGCAGGTCAACCTCGCTGCGCGACACCATGACCCTGGTCAGCGTCTTCTCGTCCGTGCCGGCGCCCTGGAGGGCCGGGCAGTGGGCGGCCAGGGCCGGTCAGGCCAGGGACAGCGCTGCCCTCCCGCTGCCCGCCGGCCCCCGCGGCGCTCACCTTCATGGCCTGGTACAGCTTGTCGGCAAAGAACAGCGGCTTGTTCCTGACGCTCTGCACTGCGGGGAGGCGGGGGTCGGTGGGGGCGGCGGGGCGC